ACGCGGCGCCGACGGGCCGGCAGCGCTCGCCCCAGCCCGCGTAGCAGGCGGTGTCGCCGACCGCGTGCATGCACGGCTCCGCGTCGCCAGTCGTTGGCGGCGCTCTCGCTGCACGCAGATTCGCTCACCTCGCAGCCGTCGAGACACGCGATCGTGTCCTCGCGCACGCACCTGAAACACACGTACGTGGGAACGTGCGGGAGAGGGAGCAGGCCATCCATAGATGCAAGATTTCACAAGTGCGCAGAAAACGATGAATATTCAAGTAATCAAGTGTATTATGTGTACATATATCAGCCTGTGTGTGTGTGTGTGTATGTGTGCGTGTGAGTTATACATACATATATCTGATCATATAACTATGTAACTGAATATAGAATGACTTAACAATGTCAACCTTCAAAATAAGAAAAAATTCCTGAAAAGTGATAAGCATTTAACCACCACTACACCAGCACTACACCCACACTAACCACTACCAGCTACTCACTACCACCGCCCACGACACTTTACCAGCACTTGCTGCTACCATTTTACTGACCTGAATTGCGCACTCACCGGCCGGGCGTTCGCAGGCAGGTCGCAGTCGGTGCGCTGACCGCCACGCAGGTCCACCTCGCAGCCGGATCCGCCGCGCAATCCCCGCCGCACGCGCCGGAGCAGTTGCCGCCGTCGCACGCGCGCACGCCTCCAGGCCAGGCCGCGCAGGGGCGGCTGCAGCGGCAGGCCGGCACTCGCGGCGTCGCACAGCGTCGTGGCATGTCGTTGGCTCGCGCTCGTGCAGACACGCGGGCGCGCGTCGGCGCATCGCCATCTGCGCCGCTCACGGCGAGCCAGTCCTCGGATGAGCGGCCTCTTGCCAGCGCCGCTTCGCTCCACGTGTACATCAGCCTCGACGGTACACCGCCGCGCGCCGGCCAGCGTTCGCTACGCCGTTGCCGCCGCCTGCCGACGCTGTGTGCTGTCGATCTGACCCGGGGACGACGACAGGCGAGGTGTAGCGATCCTGTGTGCGTGTCGTCCGGTGTTAGAGGTGGGGCGCGCCGCGCGGGGAGGTCGTGACTGCCCGCACCGCCTCCTGTCGTCGTCGAAGTCTTCAGCGATGGGTCGCACGCCGCTGTCACGACGACCCTGACCTGTGCGCGGGGGAGCGAGGGTAAGTAAGAATAGTAGACTAGTAAGATGTAATTAAATAGGTTTATAATTGTTGATTGTATCATGCTATTATATCTGTTTTACATCTCAATACATATGTTTGTAGAATGTTATGGATGTTGTGTTTTGTCTGTTCTCAATGCAAATCAATATGGAAGCCCACTCATATAAATGGTCAAGGACGTTCAGTCAAGGCGGTAAACTTTTGATGCTGAAATGTCATGCGGCACATTTGGATTTGACCTCCGAGCGATCATCTGCAGAATCGAGAAGGACAAAACGAGGCCAAAGATGCGTGAAAATTGGTGCACTGCAGCAGCATTTCACATTCAGATTCACTGACTATGCTTTACTGTTACTAAAGGTACATGTAGATAAGATTAGATAGAGTAGCATAGATAGAAAGATAGATAGATAGAATAGCAGATAGATAGATAGATACAGATAAAGAGGCATGATGGGCATGGCATGGATGATGGATGGTATGGCATGGAGATGGATGGATGGATGATGGATGGTGGATGGTGATGAATGCGATGGATGGACTGGCATGGATGCGATGGCTGGCTGCGATGCGATGGATGGGATGCGATAGATGAGATAGGATAGCTAGTAGATAGCACAGCATAGATAGATTTTTATGGGTATTTTTCTTTCAACCAAGTGGTCACCAATGCAAGGCTGCTTTATTTCCCGGGCCAATCACCTGGATATCCTCGCTTAGTGTTTAATAAATATGTTTTGTTATATATCTATATATATATTATATATATATATAGCACACCAGCGCGGTCAAACGTGCCGTCAGCAGACACCTCTATATATAACAGCGCACACTCGTCTCACAATGGCCACTTTTAGCGTTCACCAATGACCCTTATACACATGTTTGACAGTAGATGCTGCAAGTTTGACCGCCGAGGCGCGCGTGGGTGCCCACACGTACAAGCGGACGGCACGATATCGATGTCCTGTAGTTATTAGAGCCACGATGCGCTGCGGCCGGCCAGCCATGCTCAGCTTGCTGTGCACGGTGACATCCCTTGTCTGTCGGTCGTTGACAGGGATCTTCCACAACTAAACGACATCCACCGCGCCATCGTTAGACAACTCTAGCAGAAGAGACACCAACCATGAAGCGAGTCACGAATCATTACAGATGACCATCCAATACGCATTCAATGCCGGGCCTATTTAACGTACGGCTCGTGCTATTACTTTAGTTGCAACTGCTGTTATATAATTCACTTATGCTGTTCTGACGTGAAAGAATTAGGACAGCTCTATCACACATTTGTTACAGTTGCCAAAAACTAAGGCTGCGGCAATGAAGTGTTAGCCACAGTCAACGTTATTGGTGTGCCAAGGCAACAAACGCGATGGATGTGAAGAATGGACAATCAGCCGAACCAGAGCATTATTCTATACGCACCTATCACCCTCTTAACCTACGGCTCGTATTTTATATCTATATTATTGTTAACGTTATTCTATACTATCGCTTATCTTATTAGCCATTATAAGTTGAATTGTTATTACATAGTTCACGACGAAAGCCTTCAGGACCAAACTATACGGAATTGTCTCCAAATAGGGAAAATGGCCATCTCTGCTAATCATATACAAATTATTTACACTTCTTTAAAAAAACTTCGCACCAGAGAGCTTACTGAGTATCGAATTTTGTGCACTTACCAACTGCATGAAGACTGCAAAGCGTTGGAGATGTGTGACTTCATATTCAGTATTACTTCGTGGATTTGAACATTTGAGGCCGGTGACCGCGGGTGTTGACAAGCAGGTGAGAATTTATCCCCAGTTTGTAAGCGGTGTCATTGTGTAAATGGCTTTAACGACAATAAACAACTCTAGGCTTGTACCAACAAGAACGTTGTGTATAGCTTTGATATGTGATTAATTAATTCTTTGGTCATTGGCTTAATAGTTTAATTGTATTAATATTAATATTATACAGGTTGATTATTAGTTTAATATATGATTTATAGGAAGGCTACACAGGGTAAAACATACAGTATCGAGCTTACACGCACGTTTACTACGTTCATACACTGCTGCTGAATTATAGGATATTTCTAACCACAGTTCTAGGGAATACTTACGAAACACAATACTGTGTGACCCACTCCAGCATAATAGGACATAAGTCGGCAAGATCATTTGTTTTGAAGTAATGAGCAGCGCACACATGTCAAATGCCTTCGAAAAAGCCTACCTGCTGACAAAAATAAGGCTTCCAAGTGCATATTTAATCCGCGGATCATATAGGCTTCAAGATTATCTCGTGAATTATTCATGGTACATTAAAGTTAAATAATAAAAATTAAATAAATAAAATATTTTGATGAGGGCCCTGACCGCTGTATCCCGACTGCGGCCCTTACAGAACGCCTTTATTCCTCAAAAGCTGACATATTCTGGAATAAGTCGGTTTCGATCTGTCAACATTTGCTGCTAGATTCACGTCTCAATTCTCTATGAATATACGCCAAATATTATATCATCTTCAAAGGTAATTTAAAGTATCTATCAGATATGCACATAACTCAATTTTGTAGAATTTCCTAGCTTAATCCTGGTTTGCTGGAGCGCGCTCACATATAATACAACCACTAACTATATGATTATAATACATACTAGTCATACCATACACACAATTACTATATAGTATATATACTATACTGTTCACTGCTATTTACTAATCTATCTAATACGACTAATCTATATTAATCATAAATCGTTCTGCAAACCCCCCCCCAAACATTCTCGACACTGCGACTCGAGAATGTCCGCGGACGTGCGGCGTCACTGGCTGTGCCAGCGGATGCGGATGAAAGGAATCCTGAACTCGCCAGTCGCTTTGCTTCCTAGCCGCTTGCGCAAAAACTCCGTGCGACGCGTTTATCGAGCAGCTCACGGATATGAGAGTCGCCGTCGTGATGACGCGTCGCATCTCGCCGGTCAGCTTCTGCCCTCAGTTATCGCCTCGGTGATATCCTCAATGTTGACGCAACGACTCATCGCCAACCTCCTTGCTCTGAAATGAAGAGATGAATCACCGCAGGTGCAGCAAAGCGTGTTAAATCATGGATGCATACAAACACTCAACTGTCAGTAACTGCTGCTGCTGTGCTGCTGCTTGATAATGCACTGCTACTACTTCTGCTGATGCATGACGAACAATGACTGCTGCCTGCTGCTGCCCTGCATGAATGATGATGCTACTGCGTTCCTGATGATTGATGCACGAACGATCGCTGCTGCATCGATGATGAACGACAATGTGCCTGCTTGGCTGCTGCCTACTGATGATGATTGATCTTTACTGTTCCTCCTATGCTGCATGATGACGACATGCTGCGCTGCTGCTGCCTGATGATGATGATGATGACGACAATGCTGCTGCTGCTGCTATGCTGTATGATAAGATGATGCTGTGCTTATTATATGACGACGAATGCTGCCATGCTGCGTGCTCCTTGCTGCTGATGATGCTGCCTGCTTGCTACTGCTGCTAGCTGCTTACTGCTGCTGCTGATGATTGGTGACACTGTGATGTGCTTGCTAGATTGATGATGATGACGATGATGGTGCTGCTATAAATGTTGTTTTATTGCTTGACTGCCTGTTGTTATGTTGTTCTTTGTTAGTTGTTTGTGTTGTTGGTCGTGTCATTCTTGTTGCTTGCTGGCTTAATGATGATGACAATGATGACGATGTTAACTGCATACGTATATACCACTGCTCCATTATTTTATATGCACTGTTTGATAAAATCTGCTTCATCTGATCGATATCATCCAGGGAGACATCCTGCATCTCTGTGCGCACACTGGCGCTTCCCTGGCATATGTCATCGTTGCACCTCACACGTTTGCACCGGCACTACTCGTCCTGACTTTCGCCGGCAGCAGACATGGAGCCCGTTGATGATACCCGAAATGCCACTTATTAGGAATCTGTGAAGCAAACGCGAAAACAGGTTTGTGAATTATATACCATGGTTATGTCACCGGCAGTGACATCATCCATACAATGGACTTAGCCGCTTTAGCTGGGATAAGCACGCCTGCGTTATGTGTTGTACAGTATGAACAAACTCAACTGAGTTTTCAGTCTGATCTGGATAACGTCCCTCGCTTCTGGATATTGTTGCTAGGTCAGTCAAGTTCACACAGTTTGTATGCATTTTCCACACACGTATGCCATATTATCGACTTTGGCACACTCTGTTACTAAGCAGCATTTTCGATGTCTTATTGCAATGCTGACTGGTCAAAGCTGTCAGTCAATTACTCTAGATGTATCTCTGTAACCGTTTGTATGTTTCTTTTTCTTTTTCTTTCATAAACATGCGTGTACTTGACCATATCTAACAGTATAACTATTACATAAACATGCGTGCACTTGACCATATCTAACAGTATAACTATTAGATAAACATGCGTGTACTTGGCCGTATCTAGCAGTATAACTATTACATAAACATGCGTGTACTTGGCCGTATCTAGCAGTATAACTATTACATAAACATGCGTGCACTTGACCGTATCTAGCAGTATAACTATTACATAAACATGCGTGCACTTGACCGTATCTAGCAGTATAACTATTACATAAACATGCGTGTACTTGACCATATCTAACAGTATAACTATTACATAAACATGCGTGCACTTGACCGTATCTAACAGTATAACTATTAGATAAACATGCGTGTACTTGACCGTATCTAGCAGTATAACTATTACATAAACATGCGTGCACTTGACCATATCTAACAGTATAACTATTAGATAAACATGCGTGTACTTGGCCGTATCTAGCAGCTCCACATCATCGATGCCATGCTCCTGCGACTTGGTCTTAACGAATTTTCCCATGTCCTCAAATATGCTGACAGCGATCACCTGATTTACATAAAATACAATGTATTATAAATTACAATTTAAAATTATAATATTTATTGTAGGGAAATGTGTTATAACTGTACTAATTAATGGGATTCGTGTGAAATGGGATTCGTGTGAAATATTATGAAACTTTTTTCAATTAATAAATTAATAAATATCAGTAACAACAGCACACATCATGCAAAGGCACTGAACTCTGTGTGTGTGAACACAGGTTTGACTGTATCCATGGTTCATACGCCTAATGCAAAATGTTTTTCATTTCACAGGCTGGTCGTTGCTGGTGCAATCATCACATTTGAATCTGTCTTGACAGGACAATGTGATATGTGGTGTACGCAGGGGGGATATATGTTGATATACACCTGTGCTTCTGGAGACACCTCCTCACTGACAGCTGTAACTTGACTCAGCATGGATGACGTCTGCTTGAGAGCACCTAGACTGTGCAATGATGTCTGCTGCAGCGCCTTCACTATGGACGTCCTAATCTGCAAGGCAATCAGTGGCAGTCTATGGGTGACGTCACAAGCTAGTGATCAAGTTACGCGCATTTACGTAAGGAAAATAACTAACAATAATAATTCGTACTAAAGTAGAATCTATATTTATCTGAGAATAGCATCAATAATACAATATACAGTAATACAAGGCAACCACATATCATGTATAACCACGAAGATAGACATCTACACAACATGCATACATGCACAACTGAATGTATATGTACAATGTATAAAACAATGATAGATACATTCATGGTGTAAAATATGTACAGGAATGAATAAAAACAATTTTAATTGTTAACCGTTTGTATGTTTCATTTTCTTTTTCTTTTCTTTTTCCTTTTTCTTTTATTTATAGTTTAATATGCTTTTATCCACGCATATCAGGCAATATGCTATACAGTATAAATGTATATATACTGTAATTAGGAGTGAATAAAATAAAAAGTTTGGTTTTTTTATTTTGATCCATTTGTTAGTAGCTTAATACCATATTGTAGGCATGTGTTTATTGTATAACATACCGGTAAAATAACAACAATGATAACAATAATAAAATAATAACTACGATCACCTCTGCCTTTTCTTCAAGTATCGCCTTCTCCCGTTGAATCTCCTCCTTGCTTTTCGGTTCACGGGTTGTGGCTGCCGCCGGCACGTGTGTGACGCCAACAGGGGGCGCCTCAGTAGCTGCTACTACCGCTGCCTTACTATTCAGGATGGCAGTGACTACATTGATGAGCTGAGCTGCAGCTATAGTTAATAAATGTCGCCACGGTTACTCGCAGTTTCTTCCTTCCTAACATTCTCTCATACATACACATACAGGAGTATATATATATATATATATATATATATATGGATATACATATGGCAATATATATATACCTATGTAATAGGCTATATAAACATGCATAATATGTATGTACGTATATATACAGTTAAACCTGTGTTAGGGAATAAAAATAATACCACTATAGACGGACACCTATCTATTCACTTTTGGGGTTTATATATATACATGTATTTATATATATATATATATATATATATAGCACACACGCGGTCAAACGTGCGTCAGCAGACACCTATATATAACAGGCACCTGTCTACAATGGCCACTTTTAGCGTTCCACCCAATGACCCTTATACACATGTTTGACAGTAGATGTGCAAGTTTGACGCGAGCGCGCGTGGGATGCACACGTACGCGGACGGCGATATCGATGTCCTGTAGTATGAGCACGAGCGCGCGGCCGGCAGCCATGCTCAGCTTGTGCACGGTGACATCCTTGTCTGTCGCGTTGACGGGATCTTCCACAACAAACGACTCCACCGCGCCATCGTTAGACAACTCTGCAGAGAGAACACCAACCATGAACGAGTCACGAATTCATTCAGATGACACATCCAATACGATTCAATGCTGGCCTATTAACGTACGGCTCTGCTATTACTGTAGTTGAACTGCTGTTATATAATTCACTTATCTGTCTGACGTGAAAGATAGGCAGCTCTATTCACACATTGTTACAGTTGCCAAAAACAAGGCTTGGCAATGAAGTGTAGCACAGTCAACGTTTTGGTGTGCACAGGCAACAACGCATGGATGTGAAGAAATGACAATCAGCGAACCAGAGAGCTTATTCTATCGATCTATCCGCCCTCTTAACCTACGGCTCTATTTTATATCTTATTATTGTTAACGTTATTATATATCTTATCTTATTAGCATTATAAGTGAATTGTTATTACATAGTTCACGACGAAAGCTCAGGACCAACTATACGGGAATGTCTCACAAATAGGAAAATGGCATCTCTGCTATCATATACCAAATATTTACACTTTCTTTAAAAAAAACTTCGCACCCAGAGAGCTTACTGAAGATCAATTTTGTGCACTTACCAACTGGCATGAAGAACTGCAAAGGTTCAGGAAGATGTGTGACTTCATATTCAGTATTATCCGTGGATTGGAACATGAGGCCGGTGACCGGGGTGTTGACAAGCAGTGAGGAATTATCCCAGTTGTAAGGGTTGTTCATTGTGTAAAATAGCTTTAACGCAATAAACAACTCTAGCTTAGTACCAACAAAAACGTTGTGTATAGCCGTGATATGTGTAATTTAATTTTTTGCGGCATTGGTTAATAGTTGAATATATATTAATATTAATATTATACAGTTTATTATTAGTTTATATATGATTTATAGGAAGGCTACAACAGGGTAAAACATACAGTAGACTTACACGCACGTTTACTACGTTTCATAACTGCTGTGAATTTAGGATATTTCTAACCACAGTCTAGGAATACTTACGAAACACAATATGTGACCCACTCCAGCATAATAGGGACTAAGTCGCAAGTCATTGTTTTGAGTAATGAGCACGCACACATGTCAATGCTGAAAATGGCCTACCTGGACAAAAATAAGTTCCTAAGTGCATATTTAATCCGGATATATAGGTTCAGATATCTCTAGATTATTATGGTCATTTTTAATTAAAAAATAAAAATAAATAAATAAATATTTTGAAGGGCCCCTGACCGCTTATCCCCGACTGGGCCCCTTACCAGGAACGCTTTATCTCAAAAGCTGCATATTCTGG